TTGGAGGGACAATAAGTGGCATTGTGGTTTTAATAGTCATTATAGCAATTATAATGTGTGTCCTGATATTGCGGTACAGGAGGTCAAGATCTGTGAAAAATAGAATAAGTTTGACTACTGCAGTTAGCTATTCTAACACACATGATGAGTCATCATGTCAAGAATATTCTAAACAGCCTCAAGCTCCTCCTCCTGCTAATCCTTACCATCAAGAACAAATCCCAACAATGCCTTTTTCTCAACCTCATGGTGCTTCTCAATATAATTTTCCTCTACAAGATTATACTCCATTGGAGCCTTACCGACAAGGAGTTCAATTGGGATACCCACAGCAGTTGCAAAGCAACAGCCCATATCCTCTTGCCTTTCCTTCATGAAAAATAATTGCTCAATTGATATTTTTGATTTATTATTATTATGACTGTAGTATAATTATTGGTAGCTTACAGTTATTATTTGTGGTCCAGTAACTTTAAATTGTGTTGTTGTTATGCTAACTTTTCAAAATGCTTCAGTTTTAATATTATTTTAGTTCAGTTATGTACAGTTAAAATTAGAGGATGAACCTTTCATGATAAAAACAGTATAATATTTATGGTATGTTGTAGGTTAAAGTACTTCAATATTACTCTCCCACAGTATAATTATTGAACTCTTATCATATCTAGTCTGTTTAAACTCAACCATACATACTTTACAGTATACATACATTATGTCATGCTTTTCATAATTCTGCTTATTATTCAATGATGCCATTGCACTACTGACAAAGGAATTACTAAGTCACATAAATTCCTCCTACACAAATTGTTTAGATTACACATCATCATGTTTTGTATTATCTAATGCACATACACTAATACTGTAAAATTAATATATACAAGTTATAGTAAAGTGGTATACCAGCACCGCTAAGGAGTGTCTATAATCTTTAATTAGCTTCATTTCTCGCAGTCACTATTTTGTTTAGAGCTCAAATATTGTTTGCATGCATGGGTACTTCAACAAAAAGTAGGGTCACAAAGTAGACCAGAAAAAAACATCAAGTGCAACAATGTATGCATGATTCACTATAAATCAAAAAAAGATAGAGAGACACATGACATGTGATGTGAATCATGTCATTCTAAGCATGAGCCTGAAGCGAATAGTGATGCTGCTCTCAAGGCCCAGCATCTTGCTTACAGAGGCAGAATGCAGTGAACCTGCAAACATGTACTCTTGCAGCCAGAGGCGTAGCCAGCTGATCGAGTGAGGGCGGGCATTATGACTCATTTCCTAGGATTTGTGTACTCAAAGCTCTTTTTTCTTTATCTATAACAACCATTCTATGGTGCACTGATAAAATTAGGACGGGCCTTGCCCGCCCAGGCCCACCCCTGGCTACACCACAGCTTGCAGCTACACATGCACCTTTGCCACAATTATGAACAGTAATAACTACACACCCAAGAGTTGAAACCCGAGTTAAGATGGATTTCAGACAGTCTCAATCAGTCCTGATATGGATGGATTTTATCAGGATCAGTTACTTCTGATGCTACTTCACTTAGATCTAGTACATGTATTAATAGCTGTGAACAATAGGTCAAAGGAAAAGGTTGGTCTTATAAGCACTTAAATAGTTTTGGGATTTGGCAGTCTGGATAATGGATTTTTGGCACTCAGTCACAATACAATAATGAAATAAGGCATGACGCAAGACCAATTATGATACTAGATAGTTCAGGCCAGAGTTGAGTCTAGCAGTTATGATCAGCAATGATACCTGTCAGGACTGTACCAGTACTGATATCACACTTGATTCATTAATTTTTAGCAGCAATTATTATTGCTGATCCAGGCTAAAAACTCGTGCCAAGAGTTTTCTTGCCTGAATCAGCAATAATAATTGGGTAGATTTATGTAGGAACTGAGGGTGTGGTCTGGCTACACAAGACTAAGTGCAGTTAGAGGAAAGTGCAACTGAACCACTTCCTAAGACTACTGTAACAACTACTGTGATTCCTACTCTATGTGAACCTTTACTGGAAGTCTGGAATCTTCAGCTGACTAACTTGGTGGTATAAAATTACAAGTAAATGTGTGCACACTTTTCCTTTGATTGCATAACTTAAAGGAGTTAATTTTTAGGTAGTAAATATTGTAAGGAGTTATTTTAGTTTGTGACAAGTTAAAAAAAATTAACAGTAATTATATTTGGTTATTTAAGTTGTCTAGTTTTATAATTTTTATTTTGATTTGATTACAAATATAATAAAATGCATCTTTTCTTTAAATTGCAAAGCAGCTAGTATTACCCAATCATTCAGTTTTGAATCTTTAGGCTTCATATTGAAATTAAATTCATAAAATTATAATAAAATACTTTTACACAATGAGACTAAATAAAGTGATAATATAAACATTCAATGAGTAAAACACTATTGAGTATTGCATTAGTCAGATAACTGGCAGTGACAAGATAATCATGCAAATTATACAATGAAGTCCACACACGAACTGAAAATTAGGATTGAAACTCATAAAGCGCATTAATAACACTTACCTAAGCAAATATAAGCAGAAATGGCCCATGTTAAGGCACTATGTCTTACTGGAATAAAGTGCTTGAATGTGCAAGCACTTGCTAAGGGACATCCCAGGTATTCGACTCAGCTACATACATTAAAATGTTAATGATAGAGGGCATGTAAAATAGTTACTGACCAGAAGGATTGAAAAAACTGTATTTGGTATGAAGTGTAGTAGTGTAGACAAAAGGAACAAAATGACTCTGGAACAAAAATTTATAAATATAATAATAATAATTAAATAGTAACCAACCATGTGATACATGCTTTATTTTCAAGACTGAAAGCTTGACCTCCTTTGTATAATATTACTAAAAAACGATGATGGCAGCTACAAAAAATAAAGTTATTTAAATTATTTTATTCAATCAATTCTTGCATAAAATGTAAGTTCTAACTGACAATAATAAAAATATTTAGTAAAAGATGCAAAACAATGATCAAATTTTTGTCCAGGATAGGGTTTGAGTTTCCCACAGAATTTTGGCTTAGTGCTCATGCAGTCAGTCAATTTTAAAGTTCACTCAAAAATTTGACAAAATATCATATACTAATACTACAGTAAAAAGGGAAAGGGGCCCTCAATAAATTTTATTAAAAATAAAGAAAAGAAATAAAACATGTAGGTTAAGGAAAAGCAAAGCAAGGTTAAAAATATGTAAGGCTATAAGTTAGAGACACAAAAAGAAAATGATCAGGAAATAATAATAATAATAATAATAACAGTAATAATAATAATAATAATAATAAATAATAATAATAATAAAAAAGCTAAACATAAAAAATCATTAAATTTAAGAAATATTGATGTGGGCATCAGAGGCTGCTCTGTCAAAATCAGAGTAGTAAATCACTCTACCATGATGCCTAGTGCCCCTTATATAACAAATTGCAGACCGAAAGATGGTGAATGAATACTGACATTGAATGAAATTCATTGTGGAGTGGTAGGGTCTGTTAAATTTCTCTGAGTAGAGGAGGAGAGTCTCTTGAGGAAGGAGGTGGTGAGGGGGCTACAGCAGCCACCTGAGGTGGAGAAATAAGGGAAGTGAAGGAGGAGTGCTCAACTTCCCTCATTCTCTGCTCATACTTTCGTGTCTCCTTCAACTCAACGTCTCTAAAGCAGGCTTCCAAAGTAGACAGGGTATTTTTTAAAAACTGCTAGCAGAGAATTTTTCATTTTTAGATTTTTAAAATACGTACATGTATACATGTTTTTGTGTTGTACAGCTGAATCCAATAAAAAATTGATGTTATTTTACAAATATTTAAGTTATACTTAAAAATCAGACCAAGTCTGTGTACTATAATACATGTCTTTGGCCAATTCTTGCCGTAGGAGGAAATTCTAAAACAAGCGTATTAGTGTAAAAATATTCCTATAATTGTTTTCACCACCTTGCAATTACAACTGGGTTCTTATTAAGACTTATGAATGTTCTCTCTACCTTCTAATGCTTCTAAAGAAGTCTTTAGACAGTATCTCTATGTTCTTTCGCTGTTAGAAAGCTCATAACTTTGTCCCATGTGCAAGCCGCCATCTTGTTTGCCGTGACCACACCCACTTACGTAGCGTGGGCGGGTAGTTGCTAAGGCTTGTTATTTCTCCAATACAACGTGTATAGAAGAAATGTAAGTGTTGACATACAAATATATATATATCGCACGTGGGTGAAATCAATTATAGGAACGACCTGGGGGCTTCGCCCCCAGGTCGTAAAAATTTGAAATCAAATCAAACTTTTGACACAATATAAAAACAAGTATACATGTATCAGGAAAAAGTACAAAAAATGTTCTCTACTTTTCATTTTCAATTAAATTTGGCCAAAATCCGTGTACTATAGTACACCTAATTTTTGAGTAAGATTTAAACTCACTACAGAGCATAAAAACATAAAATGGAGAATTCCTGCCTTTTGATTTTTTGCCTAAATACCATGTATTATAATACTGGGGCAAGTAGCTGCATAAGGACTACACCAAAATCCTGTGGAAAACCCCATCTGACTTAACAGACCATTTCATAAAAATGACAGATCAAATTAAGCAATGTTCAGACACAATGTCTGAACATTGTTTGAATGTAAATTCATGTACATGTACTACAATATATAGTGCTCTTCAGCTCATGAAGCATGCTTTTAGCTCACTTAGCATGCTTTGTGGAAAACCTCATCAAGGCCATGGTTTAAAGATTTTCAATTTGGGAAAACTGTTATTTTGCTTTGACAGCTTCTCAACTGTACTTTTAAAAGCAATCATTAGCATTTAAAATTCCTTTGCCTTTTTCTATCTTTTTGACAATCTCCAATTGTGATGAGTTGACAAATAGCATGCAGCACTCATAGAAATGGCAAAGCCAGTGTTGTCATATTTTTACCCTAGCCTTCTTTCTGTTAGTAATTTACATGGTGGCTGCATACCATTATCATTGGGATAATAATATTATTCACTGAATTGTCTTAGTGCCTAGGGGATCTACAGCATTGGTAGTGTGCATGTACAATGATGGCTGTCTAATTACGGCTCAGTGAATATCATTAAAATCTCATTTGCACATGCATAGCAAGTAGTCTGGCCCCACCTCTTCATGCATGGCAAGAATAAAAACAAAACCTTCATAGCTTAACCGCTATAGTATATACATGTACTAACTTACATTGAATGGAACAAAGAGAACATCAAGGTAATTCTTAATCGGATATTTATTATGAAAGCAGTATGAAACCATGATAATATACCTAAACAATTAAATATACTAGATCTAGGTTCCAATTTATTAAGCAATTTCATACCCAAATAATTCCATCCAGTATCCTCTTAAGCTGACACCTTTCGTACGTTTCACTGTATATGTTCAGGGGCGTAGCTGGACCTTGGGTGACGGTAGGGCAAGAAAATAAAATGGCGTGCGAAGCGCGCCACAATTTTGGCTACACCCCTTTTACGTAACAAAATGGAGGCATTTTCCTGCAAGCTGAGCAAAATCAGAGTGAAATTATCATTGTATAGAGCTTTAAAAAGAGCTGTGGTTATCAGCCACCCCCTTTTGTTATTGTAAGAACAATGAATATAATCTTTTGGGTTATAATTGCAATGAATATAATTATAAGGCTACTTTGATGGTAGGGCCCAGGCACCCTCAGGCCCTACCTCAGCTACGCCCCTGTATATGTTGTCCATAGATACCTGAGGAAGTTTTATAATGAAAAATAAAATGACCACAGATCCATTTAGGATGTCCTAGAACATGTCTACAGAGAGGTCTACAGCGAGGTCTATAAAATAAATCCAAATAAAGGGTCTATGGTGTAATTGAGTGACACAGTCTCACAGAGCCCCTCCCCTTCCAATCGGGCTGGGCTGGGCTTGGGTGACTTATTTGCAGAGGACTGAAGCTTCTTTAGAGGACTTAAGAATCTGAGCCACGATTCCAAAAAGGTAGGAATATTTTTGTTTGTTGCCTTATATATAGTATCTACACATCATTAAAAAGCAAACTGTAAATTTGAAATAATTTTGTAACTGCACGTCCTGACTCTCCGTTCTTCCGCGAGGGTCGGGCCCTGCCTGACTAATGTCAGCTGGCCTATATCTACTCATGGCTGAAGGTTAACTGCAATTATAGATGAATAGTGAGCATGATTGTAAAGAGAGCAATTAGAATCATGCAGCTCATTAAAGCTCTGAGATGGAGTTTTAGTGGACCTGCGGTTATTTTCTCCAAAATCAAACAAAAGCCCTGTCTAGTCTAGTGTAGCCAGCCCCTCCCTCAGGGAATTTGGCCAAATTTCACAATAAATCGAGAAGAAGAGAATCTCCATTTTTACATTTTCTGATGCATTATGCATGTATGGTACTTAGACTTATTTGTGTAGGTGATTCTGATCAAGTTTAAGCTTTTACAAAATGTCATTAAGTTTCTCCAAAATCTGACTAAACTCCCTCCACCATAGTACAGGAATTTTGGTCAAATTTCCCCAAAATTGAAAAGGAAAAAATTATCCATTTTATTACATTTTCTGGTACTTATGTTGTGTTAAAGTTTGAGGTGATTAAAAGTTGGTCATTTATTTTTCATAAATTTTTAATTGTGACCTGATTTGACAAAACAGGCTATCTGTGGGAATTATCAATTAGAGATAAGGCTACTCAAAGTTGTAACAGTAGTACCTTATCAAAACTGAGATTTTATCAAAAATGTATTCTAAGAAGAATTTCCTTTTACCATATGATTGGTTTATTTGTGTGGTGGAAAATTTTCGCGAATCTTGCATTTCTAAGATTTTGCGGAATTAATTTTTGCAAATAGTTTGCAGACTGCACCACGTGGCAATGAAATGCAGAGTTTTGTAGTGAAAAAATTTTGTGACTGAGCAAGAAACCTAAGATCACGGAAATATTTCACAGTGAAAATAAACCGGTACATGGTATTTGATACCATAATTATTTGCCCTCAATGAGTTAAGAAAAGTATTTACAGACCTTTCTTTTTTTGGTGCACCATGTCAATAATGCAAGATAAATGAATAAAAATGGTTGTAACTCAATTACATCCAATTAGAATTCTTTTTGCATAAATGATCATAACTCGGCACTAGATAACGTCGAATGAGATGGGACAAAGACCAAAAGGAAGGAAAAAATATGCTTAATTAAGAAGAGCCTAAATCTCAATTTTCAATTTTGGAGCATTTAGCCTGGATTTCTCATATTGGGTCACAATTTTTAAAGTTACCGTCAAAAATCATCTTTGTATGATAATAGAATATATATTTGTTACATTTTAAAAATCTTTTGTTATATTTTTTACATTAATTTCTTTACATTTTGGGATATGGTCTGGAGCCCCACATTACATTTTGATTAAGGGCCCATATTTGAAAAGCCTCCCATCTTTAGCAATTTATTGCCAAAGCCCCAAATTTTTATGTGGTCTGAACTTCTTTCTATAGGCTTTCACTGTGTAATCCTTGTTATGCATAGCATTGGCAATATCTGACAAGCACGTAGTGTCTATTTCTAGTTACATTAGTTATAAACTTAAAGTTTTATGTAACTATAATTAATATGCAGGCAGTCCTAAGCTGCTAGCCACATGATTTAACTTGTCTAGCTAATTTTATTTCGGTTTAAACAAGAGTACTTTTGGTGTAAATAATGCTATAGCATCTATGTAGCTAAGAATCTGGAGGGAGGTGTAAATTGGCTAGAGCCCCCCCCCCCCCCGTATGCCCCACTTTGAATTAGGAAAAATGAACCATAGATACAAATGGACAATTGCCTACTGTAAGCATAGTAATTAATCAGTATCAGCTAATGATTATAAGTATTAATGTTTTTGGGTTATAATCAAAGTTATTTATGTTCCAATAATGAGCCCCACTTTTAGATTAGTGCCTGTCTGCAACATCAGAAGTGTAATTCCTGAAAATGCATTTATTAGAAATATTAAAAAACAATTATTTTAGAACTTTCATAAATACTAGTCTATTTACAATTTGATGCCTATATAATACGATAGACAAATAATGGTCATTTTCATTTTTGTGGGATCAATGCATCAACTGTATTTGTTATTCATTGTTAATCAGTTCCTGTTTCAACCCTTCCCCCTTTAATTATATAAACAACTGCTTAGTACCCACCTATGCAAGCGTGGCGAGTCCAATAAATTTGGTCTGTCTATTTCTTAGCTCCTGAAGTAAATTTGCAATGTCTGTACTCCTGAGAATATTGATTGCAGTGACTTTCAGCAGCTGTGTCATTAAGCAAGCCCTGGGTAAGAATTATACAAGAGCTAGCTTAAATAAAATTAATGTTATAAAACAAGCACTGCATGCTTTTATAAGCAATATAGTATTTGCCATAATGGTGTACTTACATGTAGATTTATACTTACAGTGTGATGGATCTATGATTTCCAAGACTATAAACTTGTTAACATACCGTATACGGCATATATTTCGTGGGGATTAAATTTCGTGATTTTCGTGTTTTGGAAAAATTTGCGAAATTAAAATCCGCAAAGTAGCATTCTGATTGTATAGTAGGTGTGGTAATTACATTAAAATTGCAAAATTTTATTTGCAAATTTAAAATTGCAGCCAAATTGCAAAATTTTACATCTGCGAAGTATGTGCCATGTACGGTAGTATGATCTGTTCTTGTATCATATTACAGTATAAAACTAACTTTGCAGTCAGCTTTACAGAATAATTTGTATTTAGCTATTTCGCATTTTTAGAAATAAAATTGTTTTGCTACATTGCGACTAGCTTATTCTGTAACAATCATTTTATATCTAAAAGTTGATTTGTCCATATTACGTTTAACAGGTGATTGTGGCCTTGGGGCACTTCAGCTTGTCAATGGCAGTTCAATGTTTGAAGGGCGTGTGGAGATATGCTATAATAACACTTGGGGAACAATTTGTGATGATAACTGGAGTAATGCTAATGCTCAAGTTGTATGTAGACAGCTTGGATTCTCTACTATAGGTTTGTGTATTTACATGTCAATGTGCATATTTAAACACATCACTTTTATTCAAAGATATAAAGAGATACTGCTCTCATTCATAATGTTCATCTCATGGTCACATGTATTAGCTAACAAAAATTTATAATGTAGAAACTCAGAAGTTTAATGGTAGATCTAATACTAAGAAAAATAATGTGTAAAATATCATTTCACAAAAAGAACTAAAACCAATTAGATGTTTTTGATCCTTCTGTTAGTTTATAAATGACATAATACAATTGTATAAACTGCAAAAGTCAACAAACATGTTTTCATCCTCTTTATATGTAATGTGCTATGCTTTGAGATGGCAAATGTTATTGTTATAATGCTATAGTTGAAACACAACTAAAATGTGTTTTTATAAACCAATAGAATTGTACCATACTTTTGTAATTTAGCCACTAATGAAACATCAAACATAATTTCACGTGCAGTACTGACAACTTTGTACCTTAAGGAGACAATTATTACTGTGTACTTATTTTAGTAATTTTGTAATACTGACATTTGGCTAGTATTTAATTTAACATTTTGATCAATTACCTTAGGGTGGGTATTAATTGCGCTCTTAAATTTTAGCGTTTTAAAGGGTGCCCTGATTTAGCGAAATGCAATATTAGCAAAAATAGGAAGAAAATCAATGGTAAAACCCCCATTCAATAGCATAACACAACTCAAGAAGCCCAATCTATACATTTAAGAGCAGAATACGTAATAGGACCACCCTATCTACTGTTATCTTGTCACAGATCTTGCCTATCTTGTGTACTTGTTTACACAAGTACATAATAACTATTATTAGTGGCTGGTTGAATTAGCATTTTAAGTACACTCGCTAAAAAACGCTAAAATTAAGTGTTGCAATTAATACCCACCCTAAGGTAATATTAATAATTTAATCAGAAATTAAAGTTAGCAATATTTTAAAATTGCTAAAATTTGCTAAATTAATTACTCGCAAACAATTTGTCTCCTTAAGGTATTTAAAAAATCAGAAGAAATTAAATTATATTTTATACCAGATATATATTTTTTTTATTGTTATACCGTATGGAAGGAAATTTTGGAGGTAGTTAAATTTGACGAATTTGGTGTTTTGATAGCCATTCGCCAAAATAAAAATTCGCCATTTTGAGCCATTATACGCATGCTCAATAGCACATGGCTACAATTTGCCAAATTATATACAAATCATCAAAAATTTAGCAATTTGCCAAAATTTAGTCCCTCCAAAATTTCCTTCTGTACGGTAGGTGCCTACTACCACAGTAATGCATATTATGGACAAGGGAATGGTTCTATAATACTTGATGATGTTCGCTGTGATGGAACTGAAGCTTCATTGATACTGCAGTGCAGTCATTCGAATCTTTTATCACACAATTGTGGACATCATGAAGATGTTGGAGTAGTCTGTCCCAGCACACGTACCTTTAATGATGGTTTTTCTATTATTATTATTATTATTATCATTATTATGCTATAGATAACTGTACTCATGGCTCAATACGTCTGGTTGATGGTTCTTACATTGGGGTTGGACGTTTAGAGATATGTATTGATAATGAATGGGGGACTGTCTGTGATAATGGCTGGACTAATCTTAATGCTCAGGTTGTCTGCAAACAACTGGGACAGAACCGTTTACGTAAGAGGAATGTATTATTTTATAAATAATGATTATGGAAATAGCTCTTCACCAGGGAGGTACATTCTCTGGCAATGCTTATTATGGCAAAGGATCTGGTAGAATATTCCTTGATAATTTACAGTGCACTGGAGCTGAGGACACCTTAATACATTGTAATTATAGTTCTGTTGAGTCAAGTTGTGAGCATGATGATGATGTTGGTGTGTTTTGCCTTATTGAGAGTAAGTTTTGGTAGTGTAACAGGCCTGTTTATTGCTTGTCACATTGTGTGATATGATTGCTAAGTTGTTCGTGATATTGTGTTTTGGTTATATTAGTTTGTTATAGTTTGTTATGCCTTGACCATGCTCAACTGATGATTGTATTTAAATTTGTAGCTCATTTTTATGTATCTAACTATTTAGTGTGTAGCCATTCTTGAAAGTGATCAATGTTTTGGTCACAATTTAAGTGCATAACAAAAAGGCATTATTTGTGCAAATAAGAAAATTGTAGATAGCCATTATCATGGACTAGCTAAAGTCTATAATTATGTTTGCTCTTATAAGTTTATTTTGTCGTATTTCTGCATGCCTTTGTTTAAATTAATTTTTATTTAGATGAGGTGACTATAAATAGTAAATTAAAACACTTATTTAAATTAATTAAATTATGAACAAAGAACTTGTTTAAATAATCATCCAATAGGACGCTCACCAGGAACAGTCATTCTCTCACTTAACAATTTGGCATCAACCACTTACAGTAGTGGAGTAGTGAGAGTGTTTTATGATGGATGGGGCAATATTTGTGACGATAGCTTTTATGGTTCAGCTGAAGCTAATGTCATTTGTCATCAGTTGGGATACACTGGAGCTTCAAGCTACTCTAGAGCTGGACTCACAATGTAAATTAATAAATATATAGAATTATATTTTAGAATTATTTTTTGTTTAGTTATGGTCCAGATCAACTTCCTGTGACGTGGGATCATGTTAGTTGTGGTGACAGCAGCTATTTATCTATTGCTCAATGTTCCTATTCTATTACTACTACTGATAGTGATAGTGCATGTGTTAATTCAAACTCTAATGATGCTACTGTCAGCTGCTGTAAGTATTAGCTTTTTTACAAATACTATAGATTTATTTGTTGCAGATACCACTAGGATATGGAATGCTCCATTTCCTGGAATGATACGTCTTCAAGGAGCTACATTCTCTAGTCAAGGACGAGTTGAAGTTTATTGTAATGGAGAGTGGGGCACTCTATGCAATGCTGGTTTTGATTCACTTAGAGCAAGCACTCTTTGCAGACAGCTAGGATATGACACTTATGATACTTATAACCATTTAGAATTGTAAGATTCATTGTTAAGTGTATACATGTATAAGTGTATTATAATTATGTATTGGTTTATAGAACTGGCTCACCTAATCAACCCATATGGAGCTTAGATATTGTGAGCTCTACTTCTGGTAATTGTTTTAATTCAAGCAATACTTGTCCAACTACTTCAATATCAAATTGTACACATTTACGTGATGTCACTTTACAGTGCAGTTAGTTTTTTTTATTACTTATATAAATCATAATCTAATTAGGAGAAAGTGATAGATCAACTCAATTGACTGTGACTACTGAAACTTGTCGTAAGTCAAATTAGCTTAAATGTTGTACAAAATGAGCAATTTGATGCATTTCAGCTTTGCATGACCTTATAACATTGAATTATTATTGGTGTTATGCAATAATTATGGTTTTGTTATGATATGTATTTTTCAAAGGTTGCGTTAGTGGAACTATTCGTCTTGTTGGTGGATCCAATAGTATAGAAGGACGTGTTGAAGTATGCATTAATGGAGCTTATGGTACAGTTTGTGATGACTTTTGGGATAGTGATGATGCTACAGTTGTCTGTCGACAGTTGGGACATGATACTAGAGGTGTGTCACCATTATTATTTAGTTGCAATTTGAGTATTTGGACTTATTTATTTGTTGCCCATTATACATTTGTTTAAAAGTTATTCAAACACAATTTACTTTTATGTCTTGCTTAACAATAGTGAACTTGAAGTTCAGTTGATTGGAATAATGTAATTCAGTGGTAGTGAACACCTTGTGATTTTTATAAAATTATTTTTCAAGTATACCAACGAAGTAATTAATTATTTTGTTAGGAACTGCATTGCCTAATGCATACTTTGGGCAGGGAACAGGAAACATAGTGATGGATGATGTGCAGT